AAAGAAAACCGCACCTCGATATCATTTCATGTCCCTAAGATATTCAGAAATTAAGACACCTGAAAAAACCGTACCGTATTTGGCACGGTGGGTCTGAAAGGGTTAATCTTGTGATGTCACTATATTAAATCTGAAATTTCATAAACTCTTACTTTTCGCATTATTTCAGTCAACAGGTAATGTTTTGTACTGCTTTGATTTATATTATATATAGAGAAATTAGTTGGGAAATAATATTTACAAAAAAAAGGTTGTCTAAATACTGTAGTTGTGCCTAACTGTATGCTTGAAACTTTCTGTTATATGTAGATTAATATTAAACAAATCTATTTGCTTTTATGACATTTTAATAAACAAATGCAGACTATGATAAGCAGAGAATCTCGTATAATGAGTAATTGAGAAGGAACATTAAAATTCAACAGATTTCAAGAGGTACCATAGTCGACTCTCCCTAATAAAATCGCCGGGGAGTCCATGTCGGGAATCCCCGGGGAGTCCCTACCTTTTTAGAAAATTTCGATCAAATGTTTAGGGTTTAAATGTTGCAGGAGACTCATTAGTAAATTTTTGAAGAGTTCCTGCTAATGGTTATAAAGTCCCCAGGGAGTCCCTGATGTTTTCCTAAATCCTCCATCAACTCCCCGGGGATTTTGATTGAGGAAAGTTGACTACGGTATAGTGACTCCCAAAATTATTCGAGGGTGTGGGTAAAAAGCAGATTCACACCCAGACCAACTTCGCACCCTCACCTTTCATCTCTCTACGATCCTTTGTTACACTAACGCTGAGACTTCTCTAGGTGTCCGATCGCTTTTCAACTAGGTTCATTTAATGATTACTAGTGAGGTATAGAAAATTCTGCAATGGTTTGGTTTTGCGGACTTTCATTCTTGAGATATGGAAATTTTACCCTAATTTTTCAACAAAGAGTTATAGTACCCTAACGGCATATGAAAAATCAACTTCCAAATTTCGACTTCACAATTTATATAAACAAAGTTCTCAATGGGATTAATTCATTGGACAAGTTATAAATTCTCTAGTATCTCCTATCCTGATATATTCAATATTCGAAATTCTTTCATATGTTAAAAGTATATTGTCTACAATACTAATTGCACAATCAATTAATCTCATTAAGAACTTTGTTCGTGCAATGTTTGAAGTCAAAAGTCAACTTTCCATGTGAGTTGAGAACTAGATTTTTCTATTACTTATGAAATGAACATCGTTTCGGAAGGTTCTTTCATCTCAAACAGAATTCTCTACTCAAAAATAATTATTTGGATTCATCTTGGCGTACGAAAAAAACAACAAACTTAATCGAATAATTTTCGAAACCATTGTATCTAAGTTCATAAAATAAAGTTGTGTAAACTTCTTTTTTATTCTATTAATAGAATTTTTTTGTCAATTTGGAACATTGGTCTCAAATTCATGAAAAATTACGTTTAGCTATTGAACGTTTATTATCAGTATGTGATGATGAATTTACAACAGTTTTACATAATAAATTATTATTTATAAATCGTCGATGGAAAGAAATAGTTGAATCTATTCAACAATTTAAACATGATGAATCAGTAAAGAAAAAACGTGATGAATTTTATGCTGGTCGTGCAAAATTATTAGATACATTAGATAAAATTGATCGAGAGAT